TGTGATGTCCAGGCTTATGAGACATTGGCTAGAGGAGAGGAGGAGGGTGACAAGGACAAGGCTTTGGCAGCCAGGCCTGCTGTCAGCAGCATTTGATCCCCTGCGGATCTCTCTCAGGGCAGGACACGGGCTTTGCGTGGTTCGGGGTAAACGGAGGAGGAGATATGAGTGTGCGCCTGCATCCCAGCCCAAATGAGGGCTGATGTCAGTTCTTCTCTGTGCGTTTGTCTCCTAATTTGACATGTGATGTAAACTGGCTGAAGTGAAATTCTGTCCTGCGTTTTCTGTAGTCTGAGTCCTTCCAGCAGGAGTGTTTAGGTGGGCTCAGGAACCACTGCAGGCAGTTGTTGGGCTGCCCGTATGCACTGCCATACTTGCCTCTTCACACTTCTGCCCCTCCTCCTTTCCTTCTCTCTCCCTTTCCTTTCCTCTGATTGTTGTTGTTAGTTGCCGAGTCAGTGCTAACTCATGATGAACCCAGGTGTGTAGAGTACAGCTGCTGTATAGGGTTTTCAAGGCTGTGACCTTTCGAAAACAGATTGCCAGGCTTGTCTTTCGAGGCGCCTCTGAGTGGATTCCAATCGCCAACCTTTCTGCTAGTAGTCGAGTGCTTAGTGAGCATTTAACCAGTTGAGCCACCCAGGGACTCCTTTTCTCTGATTAGTCAACATGTATTGGAGGGTCAGGCCCTGCCGTAGGCCCTGAAGGAAGGATAAGATTTAAAGGTGGAAGGAAGTTAGTGGCCGTGAAACAGAACGAGGACCTTAAGAAAATGAAACCCCTGACTCCAGTTACATTCACCCTGGGCTCTGATGAACTGTGGGTTGTCTGGAGGTTTAGTAACAAGGCTGGTATTTAGTGTCTTGATTCTAGACACATGGCTCTTTCCCCTGAAACCACAGCTCTCCTCTAGTTGCGTCTGAAGTGCCAGGCACTTTTTTAGCTTGGCTCTCCCTGAAAAGAATCAGAAGCTGATTTGAGGTGTGTCTCCTTCCCCGATGGGGCGTCTGTGGCCTAAGGTTTCAGGCAGGCTGGCTCCTCAGCTGAGTGTTCGATGACAGGCAGGCTGCCTGGCCCCAGGGACCTGCCACATGCCTTCTGAGCCACAAATATTTCACACCATGGGTTCCCAGCTGCTGCCCTTCCCGCTGCTCCATGCCCCTCTGTCTCTTCCTTGGCCCTAAACCCACACTTTACAATCCCTTCAGCCACTACCACCTCACCTTGTCCCTCCCTCATGTGGCCCCCCATCACTGAGTTCCTTCAGGGAAATCTGAGGAACCCAGAACCCCTTTAGCTTCATTTGTCTGGGAAAGCAATCTATGAATGTTTTCTGTGTGCCAGGGCTTGTTTGCGGTGCTTTACTTCCATTATTTCATATAACTGGGCCCAAGATTTGTTGTTGTGTGCTGTCAAGTCGATTCCGACTCATAGCAACCCTATATGACGAAGTAGAACTACCCCATAGGGTTTCCTAGGCTATAATCTTTACAAGAGCAGATTGCCAAGTCTTTCCTCCCGTTGTGCGGCCAGTAGGTTCGAACTGCCAGCCTTTTGGCTAGCAAAACCAGGATTCAGACCTATGGTTGTCTGTCTCTAAAGCCCTCACTTGCTGTGTTTTCAGGTGCCCTTAGTGCCCCATCCAGCTTCCCCAGTTTCCTAATCTCATAGCTCTGTTCCCATGCAGATTTGATATTTTGCTTCCTCTTAGAATTAAAAAAAAAAGGAAAAGAAAGAACAACTTCCCAACTCTGGCTTTTGAGGATTATATTCCTCCTAGAAAAACTAGAATGACTTTTTTTTTTTAACTGGGAGGGAACATTTCAGAGCTTCCCACCTAGTGGTTATTTTTAAACTTTTAAACCATGGAACCATTCCTTAGAAAATGATCGTCCGAACTCCAGTATATAAACCGCACAAAAGTTGTGCTGTCCTAATTGAAGTGGCAGGGAACTGGGGTGTGGGGAACCCAAGACCTGGCTCGGTACATCCCTACAGCCGGAAGCATGTTGGCAGAGCCTTAGAATTCTGGTGAACACAATTTGAAAACTCCTGATTATCTCTCGTTTTAGAGATAAGCAAGCTGAGGCCTAGAGAGGGAAAGTGGCTGGCAAAATCAGAACTAGTGCCTGGGCCTTCTAGCTTCCAGCCTGCATCTCTCTAGAGAAACTCCAATTTGTGTATCACTGTCCAAACCTGTCAGGACACCTCATCTAGGAAGAAGGGGTGTGTGTGTGTGGGGGTGGGTACAGATGGAGGAGGGGCTGGCCTTCCTGTTTCTCTACTTCCTCATCACCAACAGCCTGAGCTTCCAACTCCCTTGGGGAATGAGGTGGGCCAGGGAAGGAACAAAAAGGGAACATGGAAGGATGCAAGCAGAGGTATGAGGGAGTAGGTGACAAAGCGTTAGTTTTGATGGGCGAGAAGGAAGAGAGACGGGGCAGTAGACAAGGGGAAGCAGTGAGGTGAAAAGAAGGAAGGAGCTTCCACCCTAGCCCAGAACCAAAAGGACTGGCCTTGTGTCTGGGCCCTGGTCTTGCTCTGGAACTCCTTTGGGCAAGTCCTGGCCCCTTCTCTTGCCTCAGTTTCCTTTGAAGGTTTCTCTGCCCACCAGCAGTGACAGCATGTGTGGGCTGAAGGAGGGGCAGTGTGGCATGAGAGCACAGCACACAAGGAGTCGGAAGTAGCTGGCCCAGCTTGGCCAGAAACAGCTGAATGTCCCAAGACAGCTCAAAAGTCTTCCTGGACCTGAATTTCCTTTTCCATAAAATGTGATAGGACAAGATGCTCTCTTGGTCCTGTTTGGCTCTGAATTTAATAATCTGAGAGAGGGAGCATATGCTTGGAGAGTTGGGGAGTTGGGCAGACATGCACTTCAAATAAAAAAAAAAAAAGCTAAACCCATTGCCATTGAGTCAATGTCGACTCATAGTGATCCTATAGGAAGGGGTAGAACTACCCCATAGGGTTTCCAAGGCTGCAGATCTTTACAGAAGCAACCTCTTTCTCTTGTGGAGTGGCTGGTGAGTGCGAACTGATGACCTTTTGGTTAGCAGCCGAGCCCTTACCCACTGCACCAGCAGGGCTGACATGGGCTCCAGAGTACCAGAACTGCAAACTTCGAGCTAGCAGGGACCTGACATCATGCAGTCTAGTTGTTGTTGTTAGGTGCCGTCAAGTCTATTTTTGACTCATAGTGACCCCATGTGACGGAGTACTACTTCCCCATAGAGTTTTCTAGGCTGAAAGGAGCCCCGATGGCACGGTGGGTAAGTGCTTGGCTGCTAACTGAACCCACCAACCACTCCGAGGGGGAAAGATGTGGCAATCTGCTTCCATACAGATTACAGCCTAGGAAATCCTATGGGGGCAGTTCTCTGTCCTACAGGGTCACAATGAGTCAGAATCAACTTGACAGCAATGGGTATTTTTGGTTAATCTTTATGGGAGCAAATCGCCAGGTCTTTCTCCTGTGGAGCTGCTGGGTGGGCTCGAACTGCCAACCTGTTGGTAAGGACTGAGCGCTTAACCTGTAGTCTAGTAATCTCATTTTGTAGATGAGAAAACTGGGCCTAGAAAGAAAGGCCGAGTGACTTTTCTGCTTCTCTCAGCTTTCTTCCTCTTTCTCCTTTGAACTTTAGAGTCTAAAGATTCAGCTCAAAATAGTTCTGTGCAGTAGATAAGCTTTTGTGTTGTTGCTCTCTTGAACATTTTATTGTCAATTTTTTTTTAACAGAAACAATACATGCTCGTTATAAAATTTTCCATTAATACAGGAAGTGAAAAAAGTTAAAAAGAAAAGAAAATTGTTGCCATCCTTTTGCCCTCAACCCCTCGGTCCCCAGGGTGTCTTCTGTTAACAGTTCAGTGTGTAAGCGTGTATCCATCCTGACCTTTTTGATGAACATAAAACCAAAACAAACAAACAAAAAATTTATTGCCCTCGAGTCAATTCCGATTTTTTTCCAAAAAATAGGATTATGGTATAAATTATTCAAACATAAATTTTAAAATCAGATACACCTGGTTCTAATCTCAGCTCGGAGCTACTTAACTGAGTGGCCTCGGCCAAATTAAACTTTTTAGCCTCAGTCTCCCCGTGTATAAAACGGGAGTAATAAAATTATCTGCCTTATAGGATTGTGGTGAAGATTTAATAAGCTACTATAGAAATAGCTCTTAACAGTGGCACAACAGTTAAGCGTTTGGCTGCTAACCAAAAGGTTGGCAGTTTGAATCCACAGCCGCTCCTGGAAACCCTACACAGGGTCGCTATGAATCGGAATCGAATTGACGGCAACGGGTTTGGTTTTTTGTTTTTGGTCGGTACATAGTAAGCACTACACACATACAGAATACAGGGGGTACAGAGTAAGTTGAGGTAGGTTAAAAACCAGATCGCAAGTTTTCTGACCCTCTGGCCCATCAACTCTCTGTTTCTCACCCGGCCCCCCCTGTTGCTCAACCCTACCTGACAGAGTAGAATTGCCCCATTGGGTTTTCTCGGCTGTAATCTTTACAGAAGCAGATCGTCAGGTCTTTCTTCCACAGAGGCGCTAGGTGAGTTCGAACCTTTCAGTTAGCAGCTAAGTACTTAACCATTGCGCTACCAGGAATCGCTCAGGCCCAGCTAGGCACATGTTAAGTGCTCAACACTTGTTGAATGATTGAGGCTGGGTGCGGGGGGGGCGGGGAGGGGAGGGGGCCGCAGACCTAGAGATTTGAGGTCTGGAGTTTCTGGGATGCCTGCTCTGGAAAATGGTGGATTTCACCCTGGGAAGTGGCACAACTGGGTTGGCCAGACCAGCTGTTGCTCCAGGGCTCCTGGCTGGAGAGCTGAGCCTTAGGACAGAGCTGAGGGCCCAGAGTACATCTCAGCTTAAAGGACCTCGGCTTAAAAGGAATGTGCAGTGGGCTGCCTCTGCTCAGGAGGGGCTAAAAAAAGCCTCACCCTCCCCTGGGCTTTGTGTGAGGGTTATCAACTGCTCAAGTCAGCTCATCTCTCTGGCTAGACTCTGGCATTTTTTAGAGGGTCTGTTTTCCTGGCCCCTATGGGTGTAGTGTCTACCAGTTGGCAGGAAGGGGTCAGCGTGTCCCAGAGGTAGAGGCTGTGAGGAATGTGGGGTGTGGGGGAGGGGGGCTGGGAGCCCCAAACCCAGTGACAATACACAGTTGTCAGCTGTCCCCTGCTGCTGTTTCTTCCTTTTATAGTCAGCAGCAGTTGCTCTTGCTCTCACCCAGCCCCTCTGTGGGGGCTCCTGCCCAGGATAAAAGGGAGGCAGGAGGCCCAGTCTCCTGTCTTGTCTTCCAGGCACTGCATCTCTTGCTCCTTCCTTAGGTCCCACTTCCACCAAAGAGCCGAACAAGACAACATGCCTCCCAAGAAGCCTGAGCCTAAGAAGGAGGCGACCAAGGCCCCAGCCCCGGCCCCAGCCCCGGCCCCAGCCCCAGCCCCAGCCCCTGAGCCACCAAAGGAACCTGCCTTTGACCCCAAGAGTGTAAAGGTGAGTGAGCCACCAGGAGGGAAGTAGGGATGGCATTCAGGATCCTATTTGCCCTGGAGGCTAGAGATCTACTTGGATTGATGTCGGCTGGGCTGGGATGAGGATTATGTGTCCGTGGTCCAGATTACAGTCCCACGGGGCAGTGGAGTGGGTATGGGGCTGGTGAGGGGTATTTCAGGGTATAGGACTTTTCCCTCAAGAACAGGTTGCTGCTTTGTCTTAGAAAGTTCTGCTCATTACCCCAAATTTGCTCAGCGGAGTTGGAAATGGTGGACAGGTGGAACCAACCAACCATCCAACCTTTTTTAAGGCAATGTGGGGTCCACCATAGCGAAGTAAAAGAGACTTTTTCCTCAGTGGTCTTGTGATATGTTTATGAAGAAGAAGCATGTAATGGTAACTGGCAGTGTAACGTGGACTAAGTGATGTAAGCAGAACTGGAGCTCAAGGAGCATGCACCCTGTGTACTGGGGCCGGGAGATGGGAGTGGCTGTAGATAAGGTGAGAGGAGCCTGCTTCTCTCTTCTCCTCTTTCCTTACCCAGGTGGGCCCCTCCTTCTGTGGCCTCAGCCTGGGCTCCCACCTGGAGTATGCAGAGGACTGGCTTCATCCCAGGGCCTTTCTCTAACCTAGTGAGGGAGCTGGGCTTTGTTCCCTCTGCCTCCCCAGTTCCAGTCCCTCTCTGCTCCACCCTGCTCCCCTCACACTAGAGTGTTCCTCTTCCTGGAGCTGACTGAGTCATTTTAGGCCTCCCAGCTATCTGGCCCAGCTGCTGAAGGAATGGAACTAGGAGGGGTGGATCAAGGGGGCACAGAGGCCTCTAGAGAGTGAAACCATTTTAATCCTTGGCACCAGAATGTAAGAGGTCAAGTGGCTACCAGTATGAACAGCTATTAATAACAGGTTGGGAGTGGTCAGCCCTTGGGGATCTCTGCCTTGGAGCAGGGCTAGGGTGGTGGAGAATGAGGTAAAAGTAAGAGCCCAGGACGAGGTCCTATGATAGGTAGACAGGGAAATGAAAACCTAGGGCTCTAATTGTATGACCCTCCTTGCAGCCCTGCTAGGGACTATGTGATTGTTGTGCCAGGGGACCTGGGGTTGAGCCATGGTAATCCCCTACAAGCAACAGGAGTTAAGCAAAGCTGACTTGGCCAAGAGATAGAGGCAGTTGTCCCATCTCTTGCCCAACCAGTTGCTTGGTTATGGCCCACTCTGGGGAAACTGAGGCATAGTGACCTTGAAAGTACCTGAAGGCTTTCCTAGGTCGTATATCACTCCCTCTTTGGGCAGAGCCTGGCAGGTAAAGCTGACTGTCTCCCCCTCTCAGAGTCCTTCCTAGGTTTTAGTTCTGATTTGCTCTGATTAAGCACCACTCCAGAGGGACAGCCACTTCCCCAATTTCTCATCCCTGTTGTAATCCTCTTTGCCATGTCTGGGTCTTCCAGTCCTGGGGATTGGAGGTTGTTATTGTTGTTGTTTTTTTAAAGGTACCTTTCATGAAGGCATGATTACATTTACCCAGTTCCTTTGCTCAGAAGATTCTTTGCTCAGAAGATTCTTTGCTCAAAGATAGAACAAAAGTGAATTTAAACTCAACATGTGTGGTTATGACCATATGTTCTGATTTTATGTTTCTTTATACTAATTTCCTGTGTTTACTCCTGGGGCTTAAAGCATTGCAAAGTAAGGCAAACTACACCTTTTCCTGAGAGAGTTTATGCAAAGCATTCTTTACCCCATTTACTTAGGGTTTTCGTTTAACTTCCTTGCCCCCACTTCTTCAGTAGAGTCCACTCCTGGGCACAGCTAATTTCCTTCCCAACCTAGGATGGGCATCTTTCTCCCACTCTCCTAGCCCATGCCAGCCACCTCCAGGGTCCTCATTAACAGAGGACAGTTCTGGGAGATGAGGAGATGAGATGGACACAGGACAAGCAGCAGAATTAGGACTAGGAATGGTGGTACAGAAGAAGATGCTCCAGGATGGATGCTCAGTGAAGAAAGAACTGGTGTGGGAGAGGGGATAAGGACAATAAAGTAAAATATAAGATCCTAAATTGAAAGGATGATTCACATTTGTTCATTCTTTATTTATGTCATTCATTTTCAGAGCCTCCCACTTAACTCTTCTGTATTCAGCATTGAATTATTATGCATTATGGGGAGAAGTCCAAAACGTATTCCTTCATTCAGCAATTATTTATTGAGTGCCTACTATGTGCCATGGATGAAAGTACAGTGACAAAAATCCCTGCCTTCAAAAATCCCTGGCTTCAGGGAGACAGGGCATACATAAAGGCACAACTAGAAAAAATTATGAAGCATTGAGGGCCCATACGATGTACCCTTGCCGTCCCAGAGTGCCTGAAAGGGACTTGTGCTGAAGGAAGGGTCAGAGTGGAATAGGGGGTGAGGGAAGGCTTAATTAAAGGAGGTGGATTTAAAATCAGCATCAAGTAGAAAAAGGAGTCTAAGGGTGGCATGTGGTGGGTGCAAAGGCACAAGGAGGTTGGAGGATTGTGGAGTTAGGAGAGACTGAAGGGGTGAAAGTGAGTGTTTATGGTTGGCTGGGATGAGGAATTTACATTGGATCGGAATGAATTATAACAGGGAGTCGGTGTAGGTTCTAGAATTATCCAAGTAGGGTATTTCTCTTTTTCCTCTTCCTTTTTTGCCCAGAGCCATCACTTAACAAGTAGTATTGAGGGAACTCTGGAGGCTGTATTATTTTAAAGCCTGTTAGTAGATTGGTGTTTTACACTTAGTTTGGAGCCTCCTGCTGGAGATGATCCAGATTGCGGTAGAAGCCGCTTCTGCTTCTCTGTAGAAGCCATTAGCAGCCCCAGCCCTCACCCCTGTGTTTTCCTTCCCTACAGATAGACTTCTCTGCTGACCAGATTGAAGGTGAGTACTAACAATCCCACCTCCCCTCACCCACCCTCTCTATTCCGCTTTTCTGGAGGAGTAGTAGTAGTCATCACAGTCATAATCACAACAAACCTGTATTGAGCACCGGTTACGTGCTAGGCACAGTCTTAAGCCCTTTACATGGATTAACTCATTTAATTCTGACAACAACCCTGTGAGATAGGGACTATTACCACCCCTATTTTACAGGTAAGAAAATTAAGGCATAGAGAGGTTGGGAGGCTTACCCAGTCTCACACAGGCAGTCAGTGGTAGAGCCAGGATTCAAACTCGGTGGAAAGAACGCTATTTGGGAATCAGGAGACTTTGGTATTAGCCCTAATTCTGCCACTCTCTGCCCATGAGACTTTGGGCAAGTCGCTTAACTTCTTTAAACCTTAATTTTCTTGTTTGCAAAGCAAAGGTGTTTGGTTCTTTCAATTCAGAAATTCTGTGACTGTACTCGGCATCCTCTACATATCTGCCATCCATTCGTTATCAAATCACTTCTTAACTTTAGATTCTCCAGGCAATATGGCTCCAGTTTCTTCTGTACTTTCTTCTCATGGGAGCTAGCTTCTAACTTTTGACTTGCTTCTCTGCTCCCTCTTTAGATTTCCGTATCTTTCTAGAAAGGTGTTGACCACCACTAGACTCATTGCCCTATAAGCAGATGACTACTGCAGACTCTTGAGGAAAGGCTTCTTTGGGGTCCATGAATATCATGTTTCCTATAATACCCTTCAGGATCACACTGACTTTTTTTTTCCTAGTAGTAATCTTAAGGCTGCCTGGTTGGTGCAAACGGTTAAGTGCTCGACTACTAACTGAAAGGTTGGCAGTTTAAACCCACCCAGAGGTTCTTTGAAAGACAGGCCTGGCGACCTATTTCCAAAAGGTCACAGCCACAAAAACCCTATGGAGTGCAGTTCTACTCTGTAACACATGGGGTCACTATGAGTTGGAATCGACTTGATGGCAATTTTTTTTTCCCATATGAAAATCTATACATACATTTTTATGTGACCCTAATTGCTCTCCCCATACCGTGACAGCACACTTCTCCTTTCCAGCCCTGGTTCCCCATGTCCATTCAACCACCTCCTAACCCTCTCTGCCTTCCCATCTCACCTCTGGACAGAAGCTGCCCTTTTAATCTCTTGTATCTACTTGAGCTAAGAGGCACGCTCCTCATGAGTATCACTTTACGTCCCACAGTCCAGTCCAGTCCCTGTCTGAAGAGTCGGCCTTGGAAATTGTTTTAGTTCTGGGCTGATAGAGAATCTAGGGGCCATGCTTTCTGGGGTTCCTCAAGTCTAAGTCAGACCATTAAGTCTGGTCTTCTTACTAGAATTTGAGTTCTTTACCCCACCTTTCTTCTGCTCCATCCGGGACGTTGTGTTCCCTGTCAGGGTGATCATTGGTGTTAGCCGGGCAGCATCTAGTTCTTCTGGTATCAGGCTGATGAAGTCTCTGGTTTATGTGGCCCTTTCTGTCTCTTGGGCTACTACTTTCCTTGTGTCCTTGGTGTTCTTCATTCTCCTTTACTTCAGGTGGTTGGGACCAATTGATGCATCTTAGATGGCCACTTGCAAGCTTTTAAGACCCCAGACGCCACTCACCAAAGTAGGATGCAGACCATTTTCTTAATAAACTTTGTTATACCAATTGACCTAGATGTCCCCTGAAAGCATGGTCCCCAGATCCCTACCCCTGCTACTGTGTCCCTCAAAGTGTTTGATTGTATTCAGGAAGCTTCTTAGCTTTGGTTTAGTCCAGTTGTGCTGACTTCCCCTGTAGTGTGTGCTGTCCTTCCCTTCATCTAAGATAATTCTTATCTACTATCTAGTTAGTAAATAACCCTCACCCTCCCTCCCTATGCTCGTAACCATCAAAGAATGTTTTCTTCTGTGTTTAAACCTTTTCTTGAGTTCTTATAATAGTGGTCTTATAACAATTTTTTTTTTTTTAATTTTAAAAATCTTAAACTTCAGTGTTTGGTTTATGCACTGTCTTGGTCATCTAGTGCTGCTATAATAGAAATACCACAAGTGGATGGCTTAAACAGAGAAGTTTATTCTCTCACAGTCCAGTAGGCTGGAAGTTTGAATTCAGGGTGCCGGCTCCAGGGGAAGGCTTCCCCTCTCTGTCGGCTCTGGAGGAAGGTCCTTGTGATGTGTCAGACTTCCCTTGGTCTGGGAGCATCTCTGTGCAGGAACCTCAGGTCCAAAGGACATGCTCTGTTCCAGGCACAGCTTTCTTGGTGGTAGGAGGTACCCCCCACTCACTTCTCTCTTTTATATCTCTAAAGAGATTTGCTTAAGACATTATCTAATCTTGTAGATCTCATCAACATAACTGCCACTAATCCATTTCATTAACATCACAGTGATCATAGTGACAGGATTTACAACACATAGGGAAATCACATCAGATGACAAAATGGTAGACAGTCATACGATACTGGGAATCATGGCCTAATCAAGTTGACACATATTTTTGGGGGGCACAATTTAATCCATGACATGCACATACCAGGCTTCCAAGCAGGCTGGGTAATAGGTTGGAGCATTAGCAGGTACAGCTGGTTACTTCCTCCTCTTTCTTCCTCCCCACCATTTCATTTGGGAACATAGTTTCTTTTTGGTAGTAGTCACATCTGTATTGGCCTGTAAATGTGGAGAATAATACCTATAGCATAAGATTATTATAAAATTTAATGAGATAGACCATGCAAAATTATCAGCTTAGAGCCTAGCCCACTGTAAGTGCTCAAATCTCAGGTCATTGTTATTGTTACTCCTCCTCCCCATGTTCCACTCTCCTATTAAGCATCATTGTATCTTTTTTTATGAGGAAACTTCTCTCTTTTATTAAATCTAACCTCACTCTTCTGAATGAACTAGGAGAAGATCAAAAAGTCTGAGTTCAGATTCAACTAACAAAATATATTTATGAACATTGAATTTGTGCCAGATATGGTGCTAATTGTTTTTAAAAGTTAAAAAGAAAGAAATCCTTATAACAAGGCTGAGCAGTAGGTGTTATTCCCTTTTTACAGAGGAGAAAACCAAGGTTCAATGAGGGTGAGTGGCTTGGCCCAGATTCCATAGTCAAGTGGTAAAATTGGGACTAAACTCAGTAAGATAATAATAACAGCATTTTTTTTTTGTTTTTGAGCATTTTCTACGGGCCAGACATTGTGTTAAGGTTTTTACATGCATTGTTGTACTGAATTCTCACCAGGATCCTATGAGGTAGGTGCCGTATATGGAGGAGAAGAGGTTTAGAGAGGTTAAATATTTACTTGTCCAAGGCCACACAGCTAGTAAACAATGGAAGTGGAATTTGAACTCAATTATTCAGTAATGTGAAAGACATCCAGTTTTATATCTTTTAAATATGTACAAAGCCTAGTAAAGAGTTGCAAGTAGGAGTCTTGGGGGAACCTGCTTTGATAATGTGGAAAGATTTGTAAATAGTCCATATACAGCCTCTAAGTAAATAAGTGTTTCTAAAGTACTTGTAGAAGCTTAAAAACAGCTTTTCTCCTATGTAGTTCACACATTCTTCTTTGATTTATACTGTTAATCTGCTTAGTGAATCACTTCTTTGTGAATAGCATAAGGTAACTTCAGTGCCACTGCAGTCTAAATTATCCCCAATAATGAATTGGTTGAGTCCAATATAATGAGGAACCAAAGTTCTTCGCAAAGGGCCCAGCGGTGCCTTAATTTGGCCTTGCTCCTTGGACACCTGCCCTGGTGCCTCCAGGGAATCCAGTCCCTATAGTTCTGAGCTGGCTCCAGAACTAGTAAATATAATAACTAGTTGATTTGTTTGATTCCCTTAGCACATGCTAGACACTGTGCTTGGCCCACTGTGTACTCTCCCCAACAACCAGCGCAGGTGGATGTTGCATCCCCACTTACAGTGAGGTTAATAGTCTGCCCAAGGTCACATATGTGTCAGTGGCAGAGCTGGGGTGGTCTGGCTCCAAGGTGCCATCATCTTTTAGCCTGGAACAGGCAGTACTGATAGTAACTGAATTCGAACCGGTCATATCACTTTGCAAGGTGCTTCCATATACTGCCACCTCCTTTGACACAGTAACTCAGAGGGGTGGATGGAGTGGAGTTGTTACTTCCTGCGTGTGCACAAGGAGTGGCATCTCATTGTGGCAGTGCTAAGATGAGAACCCAAGGCCCCTGACTCCCAGTCCAGAGCTGTTTTCACTTTCTGCCATTTTTAGCAGTCAGGAACCTCACCTGCACCAGGGACGGATGGGTAGATGGGGAGGGGTGGTGGAAGCAGAGGAGACATTCAAATTATCTAACAACTGACTGATCAGAAGAGATACCAGAGAGGCCCAGTGCTGGAGCACGCGTGACAGCCCTTGTGGGGCCAGGCTGTGTCTTTGGTTATCAGAAGATGGAGTGAAGGCAGGTTCCAGGGAGAGACTAGGATGGGTGGTGGAGGGGAAGTATTGCAATATTTTGACAACTGTGTTGACCCGCTACTCAGCCCTGGTGGAGGCTAATCGGCACCAAGCCACTGCCTTTACTTGGTCCAGGGGCCTGCAGCTGGGTCTTCTCTCTGCAGAGTTCAAAGAGGCTTTCTCATTGTTTGACCGGACCCCGACTGGAGAGATGAAGATCACCTATGGGCAGTGTGGGGATGTGCTGAGGGCCCTGGGCCAGAACCCCACCAACGCTGAGGTGCTGCGTGTCCTGGGCAAGCCCAAGCCTGAAGGTCAGCATGGGCCCAAGCGAGTGACCTCCTCTGGTGCCTGCTCACAGCCCCTGGGCTCCTAGCCCAGCCCTATCTCCTGTCAACTGCTCTCTCTCTTCTCCCCCTTTAGCCCTCCAGGATCAGCCTTGCCTCCCTAAGTTATCCTCGTCCCACTGAGACAATCCATCTAGCAGCTCCTGGCACTTATTTGACCCTTGAAGAATGTAGCCTGGGCTTGTTCTTGCTTCCTCCATGAAGCTGGGGGCTTCTGGAGGGAAGGAGCTACATTTTATTGCTTCTGTCTCTTCCCCTGACTCCTCAGGATGCCAGGGATGCAGCAGGCAGGAAGGGTGGGTGGGAATTTGATAATTAAACCCCTGCCTGCTCTCCACAGCCCAGGAGCCCTCAGTGGAGGTGTCATAGCACTGCAGTGTTGTGTGACCATTATGAGTTGTATCACAAATAATTTGTTTTTAATAATGGTTATAGCACCAAAGTTTGAAATTTATTTATTTTATGTAAATTAGAGCAGATTCAAGACTCACTCTGTAGTGATGCCTGTTTCACTCACTCATTTGTACTTCAATAGGTTAGAATAGTATAGAACGTGGTGCCTTGATAGCTAGCATCCTGGGAACTGTGCAAGGAGAGTGTCCCATTTGTGAATGTTACCTTTCGTGTGTGGCAGCAGGGGAAAAAAGTTAACAGCTGCTCTAAGCCACACATGTCCTTCTCATCCTCAAAGGTGTAGGCACTAGGCGGGGCCAGGCAGCCTTGGGCAGCAGCCTCCCAGCAAGGGTGGATGTCTCTAGGGGCTTCCTGGGCCCCATCTTTGTCCTCCCTCCTTCTTCCTTTGTTCTGGCTCTTTCTCCTCTTCTAGCTAAAGATACCATTGCGGGGGTTAAGGATGTGGGCAGGAAAGGGCCAGAGGGCTAGGAGCTTACCCATGTCAGCAGGGCTTCAGAGATATCTGGGCCACTTCCATTTTGGGGGGTTTCTGGGTTGTTTGGTTCCCTGGGTGGCACAAACAATTAAGTGCTTGACTAATAACTGAAAGGTTGGTGGTTCAAACCCACTGCAAGGCGCCTCAGAAGACAGGCCTAGTGATTGCTTCCAAAAGATCACACCTTGAAAATCCTGTGGAGCAGTTCTGCTCTGGCACTCATGGGGTCGCCATGAGTCGGAATCTACTTGACAGTAACCAAGAACAACAACAGCAACAACCTGATTGTTAAAAAAAGAAAGAAATGCCAAAATCTGTAGTATCCGAAAATGTTTACATCTACTAAATTAAGGCTTTTTAACACACTACAATGTGGAAGAAGTGTGCTGTTCATAAGATAATTGCAGATTTAGAAAGATGATGACTCAGAGTAACTCTAGGCAGTGTGGTCTAGTACTGAGACCCAAATGCAGTTATGCAGAAATTTCTTTTTTTGATCCTGTCAGTTTACTTCTGTGACCATATATCTGTCACATATCGGAGGTCTCAATTGTGAATGTGAGGCCTGGGCTGTGAGGCCCTTTGGGCTCCTCGAAATGCCCCTGCTGCCACCCTCAGCTCTTCGGCCTAGCTGGCCACCTGAGCTCACAGTTCTGGGATGAACCACAGTTCTTTTTCCCTTTGGCCTAGTCCTTTCACAGAGAAGAGGGTATCCCAGTGTCGGCCACCGACCTCTCCTCATGGACTCTGTGTCCTCTGGGATCACCCAGAAGCAGCTGCAGTCTAAGGCCTGGATGTTGCCAGCTTGCAGGGCTGGGTCTGACCTGGCAGAGGTGGGTAAGGCCCTTCTGCTCACATTGCTTTCTCTCTCCCTGCCTGTGTGTGCCTGAAGAGATGAACGCCAAGATGCTGGACTTCGAGACATTCCTGCCCATCCTGCAGCACATCTCCCGCAACAAGGAGCAGGGCACCTACGAGGACTTCGTGGAGGGGCTGCGTGTTTTCGACAAGGAGAGCAATGGCACAGTCATGGGTGCTGAGCTTCGGCATGTCCTGGCCACCCTGGGTAAACCAGCTGGGCAGAGGCTGAACCCCAAGGGGGAGGGGTGGGTGGATGAGAGCACCTAGGTGGCATATGTTGGGGGATATATGGGAGGCCCCTGCATCCTGAGGGTCAGTTACATCCTGATCCTGTCTCGCTGGAGGGACTGCAAGAACAACCTTCCCCAGCGGGGTTTGCTCAGCAGGTACTAGGGTTAGGAGACGAGAGGAGCACAGGCTCAGGTTGGCAGGGCGGGAGGCGGTTAGTGCTGAGGCCTGGGAGGTGGGACACCGGGGTTCTGCCCTTGGCTTTGTCTCGGGCTCTGGGGTCCTGGTCTGCTCACCCTGTGGTGGATGTAAGGCAGAGGAAAAGGCCTCAGGGACAAGGCAGGGCCTCCGAGACCCTTGGCTCTACCCTCCAAAGCCTTTGGGGGAGGCTTGGTATGAACTACTTCTCAGCCCCAGGGAGCCTTGGGCCTTCAGATTTGAGGAGGTACTTGGGTTTTGTCTGCTTTCCCTTTGCCATATGTAACAAAGAGTTCTCTGCCCCCTACCCAGGGGAGAAGTTGACCGAGGCTGAAGTGGAGCAGCTGTTAGCTGGGCAAGAGGATGCCAATGGCTGCATCAATTACGAAGGTATCAGGTCATGCTCTTGCTTCCTGGGCACTTGACGGATGTGGGGTCGGGGGGAGGCAGGTACATTTTGGGCTGGGTGGGTCTGTAGAAGGTTCAGGAGCTGTAGGATATGAGCACCAGATGGGTTTGGTGGACCCCTGATGGGTGTTGTTCTTTTCCATCCTGACAGTGAGCATCATGATGGAATGAAAGGTACATAGATTTGGAGACAGCTCTGTGATATACAAGTTGTATGACCTTGAACAAGTCATTTACTTTCTCATAGCCTCAATTTTCTCATCTACAAAATGAGGGTGATACTGGCATCTTTCTCAAGGTTGTGGGGACTAACTGAGTTAATGGAGCTCACTTCGTCTATGTTGAGTATCAGCACACAGAGTGGAGACAGAGCAGGGTTTAGGTCTCTTCCCTTCCTCTACCTTTTCCCAACCAGAAGAAAGAATCACAGTCTGGAGAAGAAGTCGCTGGAAGGGCTGAAGTCAGGCAATAGAGGGGACAGGGGAGGTGTAAGGGGCTGAGAGGAAAACAAAGCCCCCAGAGGGGGCCGAGTCCAGTAGCTGATTTTCATCTTCTTTCTTAGCCTTTGTCAAGCACATCATGTCTGGGTGAAGCAGACTCCTCCAGGGTGAGTACAGCCTTCCCTTCCTGGTCCTTTCTGGAGCTTAGGAACACCACCATATGCCCAAGAGGTCTGTTCCAGTCCTGACCCTGTCAGAGGAAGCTGCATGGGATCAGCGTATGAGAGCAGCCTGGCCCCTCATCATTTCTCCTCTACCCTTACTGCTCCCTACACCTCCCCTCATTCCCTTCCCACCTGCCTCCTGCCCTCCCTTGCCTTTTCACCCTGTTTTCCCCCTCATCAGTCACTTCTTCTCCCAGGTTTTCTTAAGGCAAGACATTCCCTCAGGCCTTGGGCCTCCTGTACAGGCTCGTGGGGGCGAGAACGCAGGATCCCAACTGCAAGAGTGTCTGTGGCCTGTGCTCTTGACCCTGTTCCTCCTCACTCCCCCTGGGCTTGGTGCTGTCCTGCTAGGGAGATGGGGTTTGTGGTAAGGGCTGGGGAAGGGGAGGGTGAAATGCCCTTTCCATCTAGTGCTTTCTTTCAGGTGGCTGGTCCTTGGCTTTAGCATCCTAGAGTAAGTTAGAAAGAGGCCCAGAGTGACTGAGCTGGAACTCGAGTCCCGGACCTGTCACTGCACCACAGCCCCAAGGACCCCATGCCTCACAGCCCTTCCTGTAAATAAACATCCCAGCCAAAACTGGGCCAAGTTCCCTGGTTCCCACCTGTCTCTGAGTTTGTTTTTTTTTTTTTTTTTTTGTGATAGTGTCACCTGAGGCCTCATGTCTATTCCTCAGAGAAATGAGTAGTAACTGGAAGTTGGAGAGGCAAAGGCAAAAGCCTATGAATCTAGAAAAAGTAGGGTCAGATATATGAGCAGGGAGCTCTGGGAAGGTCTGCAGTTTGAGGAGTTGTAATCAGGAGGAGTTTCATTTCCTTCTAAGGCTTACTGTCCACTCATCTCGCCTCCAGGTGGCAGACAGGAAGAGGAAAACCAAAGAGCCAAATTAGGGAATTCCCAAATGGTCCTTGCTTTTTGATGTGGGCCTCTTCCCCTGAGTGCAAAGTCCTTTGTTCCTGTTTCATCCCTGCTTGTTCTGGACATCTCACTGACCCTCTACTGCAGACCCGGGGCTAGAGACCTGGAGGCCAGCTCAGGGCCCCAGAGGTTCAGAGTCACGAACTTCAGGGGAGTGGGAAGAGGCAAGTGGGGCAAAGAGAAAGACAAGAAAAGGAGCAACTGGGGAGAAGGAGAAAGATGATGTGATGAAGTTAAAGACACACACACACGAGCAGAAAAACTTGCACTGGACGTCAGGGACCCGGTCATCCCAGTATGGGGGTCCCTACACCCCTGAGAACTCCTGCAATGTGAAGTAGGAACTGTTCTCTACTTCATGGCTTTTCTGCTGCCCTGTCAGGGCATCCAGCCACAGGAACTTGCTGGAACATCTCCTATGAATCCAGCCACAGCTGCCTGCCATAGGAAGCGGAAAACCATGAACTGAAATTCAGTCTTCTCAGAATTTCCAGTCTGGTTGGGGAGATAAGACTGAGGGCCATGCATACTCTTTCTTCTTTGAGGAGAGGCTCAGGCAGTGGGAGCCGACTGGTTGAATCATAAAACCACCGATCTTTATACAGTTGGGAAGGAATCATTGAATCCAGTGGTTTTCAAACTATTTTAGCCACATAGCCTTTTGTTGAAACTAACTTCTTTGAGAAGCCAATGCATAAAGCAGAAGGGAACAGAGCTTCTCTGGCTGAGGAAGTGAGGGGCCTGGATTCCAGCCTCTTGGAGCCGCTAGCTTGGCTCCTTGGAGCACAGCTAGGAGATCACTGATTTAGTGAGACCTCCTATTTATAAAAATAAAGAAATCGATCCTTAGCGGTAAGTGACTCACCTAGGTCACAGCTAATGGAAGTTGAGCCATGTCCCCTGAGTCTCATTTTGTTCCCTTTTTTAGCACATCAACCTACTTTTGGCTTGGCTCCTGGGACTTACTCTTCTGTTTGCCCCCCTGCTCTCTGACTGGTCTTTTTTTGACCCGACTTACTGCCCTTTTTTTTTTTTTAAAAAAAATTACTTTCTCCAACTTGAATGCAAACATGTCTTCTCAGTGTTGAGAACTTGGCAGGTTTTTCTTCCCCCTCCCTTTCTTTCTTCAAGTATTTATTGTTCATTATATGCATTTATAAAGAATTGGGGTTAAGGTTCCCAATTATTAAAAAACTGAAAATATGCTTTCCCTGTCAGAGAGTAGCTTACAGTCCAGTTAAGCAAGGAAATAAACATCCAGGTACTACGTAGAGAAGGACCCTCAAATAGCATAACAACAGATGAGAATGCCGTCTGTGTAACATACAGTATACGTTCTAATGCACCTGCAATAAGAAGAACCAGAGGAAGTGAGGTGCAACAGGGAAGATTTTCTGGGGAGGTGAGCTCTCAGTGAGACTTCCAGGGCAGCCTCCTAGAGAGAAAATGGACAAAGCAGTGACTAGAGCTAAGGTGACCATGTAAGGGGTTAAAAAGAGCACTGTTAACTCACTGAACACCTACTATGTTCTGGGCACTTCACATAACATTCTCTCATAGCAACCTATGAGGTAGGGGTTATTATCCCCGTGTAAGAATTTTAAAATATCACATAGAAAGAATAATGACAACAAACCTAACTCTTCATTCTTTTAGCTTCTCCCCTCCAGTTGAAGGCTACAGCATGGCATAATAATAGTCCTAAAATACCATTTTTATCAAATTACTTCCAGATTAGAACTTACAAAAGGTTCATGTTGCGTATTGGGTCATTTCCAAACCCTTCTATCTGGTTCCTAAGGCCTTCCTTTACTTGTTCCTGATCTCCTAGGAAGACATTTGCTGGCTGACTGCCTTCCTCTCAGTTGGCTCCCCTACCCTCTCTCTTCTTTCTCCTCCCTTGCCCTTCAACCTCTTGATCCATCTCTTTCCTCCCTCTGATGTGCGCTCCCCTTTCTGCCCCTTCCAATTATTTCCACCCTTCAAGACTGACATCAAGGCTCACCCCTTCCCTAGAGCTTCTCCCACTGCAACAGGCACTTCTCTGCACTAAGTAGCAAAGACCACAATTTAGTCTCCTTAACACAGTCACCAAAATGGAACTGAAGATGTCAGAGCCAGAGGAGCCCTGATCCTGGATATTTCTAGTAGAGTGTAATTACCTGAGGGCAGTTTAGCATAGTGTCGTCACGCGTTTGTTCTTGTTTGCCTTCAGGTAGGTTCCGACTCAAAGCAACTCTATAGTAGCACTGCCCCATAGGTCATGCATTTGGCACCCTATAAAAACTTGTCTTTTATGTGTTGGTGGGTTCGCGGGTAGTGCAATGTCTGCCTCCCACCACTAGATGGCACAATTGCAATGATGTGCTTCCAACAGGCCGCCAAATGTATGATCATACAGAAGAAATTAATTAGAGGAAAACTGATTCCGTTTGGGCTGGAAGGAAACTTCAGAAGTCACTTCGTCCAACTGTATGCCTTCAGGCAAATGGAGGCTTTATCCACTTTGAAAGACTGACAGAGATTAGTTTGCTTGCTTTAGTACCCTGCAAAGGTTTTGCAATGAAGGGTCATAGAGAGGACACTAACCTGGACACGTGGAGACCTGCCTTCTAATTGTAGTTCTGCTCCTAAGTCACGTACCTACGCAACTTCAGTTCCACAGGTTGCAAAATGAGGCATTGATAGATCATCTTCAAAGTCCCTCTGACGCTCTGAGACTGATTATTTAGAACTCGACTGTCTCTTGCTATATTCAGCTTTAGTCCATTTGTTTTATTTTTACTCTTATTGTGTATATATGTATAAGTGGTGGAAAGCTCAAGCATTCTTTCAAAATAATTATTGAGTGCACAGTATTAGGTACTCTTTAAAAAAAAAACAAAAACTAAACCCATTGCTGTTGAGTCAATTTTGACTCATAGCCACCCTATAGGACAGAGTAGAGCTGCCCCATAGGGAAACATAGGGAAACAGACTGCCGCATCTTTCTTCCATGGAGTGACTGGTGGGCTCAAACTGCCAACCTTTAGATTAGCAGCTCAGCACTTAACCACTGAGCCTCCAGGGCTCCTTCTAGGAGATTAAAAACAAAGTTACCCATGATCTTTCTCTCCATGAGTTTATACTGTATTTGAGGACAAATGATAATACATGTGAAAAGTAAACCATGGTATAAAGCAAAATAGAAGAGAAGACTCTAGCAATGTATGTCTTAAGATCAAGGGAGAGGAGTAGGACAAGAGCACTAGGAGCTTAGAGGAGCAGGAGTGGTCAGGGAAGGCTTCACAGAAGAGGTGGTACAAGCATAGATGGGATGTAAAAAGAAGAGAAGGGGAGATCTCAGTCAGGAGGCACAAGACACCTGCTCTTCCAACTATAACCGTAACCCTTGCATATTAGGATCTGAGTAAAGAGAAACAAAGAAGAATAAAATAAGAGCGAGAAAAAGAACTGGAGAATGGGACACAAGGGCAGGAGAAGAGAAGAGAGAGGGTGGAGGGCTGAGTAGGGATCACACTCTGGAGTGATGTGCACCAACTCAGACTTAAAGAAGCAAAGTTTAAAAATCTAAAGATGAACTGGGAAAGTACTCATTCTTTTCTCCCCTAATCTTGTAGAACCGCAGTACTATAGGCTTTCAGCATTACAAAGACCTGTAGTTCAAACCCTTTCGTAAAAGCCCTGTGAAACAATTGCCCAGTGTTTACTTGAATACCAACTGTCACATGGGACTCACTACCGTCCTAGATAGCCCATTCCATGTGGGAGAAACTGTAATCGATATTACCTTCTTCCTAGTAGGAATTTGACATCTACATTCTGAGACTTCCATCCACTGGTTCTGGGTTTGCTGCCATGTGACCCAGACACGCTGTAAGATCACTTTGCAGGTTAGAAGTCATAGCTGCCTCTTTTCTCAGCCATTTCCCCTAGTACCTCCCAGCAGGTTCTTGTCTCAGGCCAGGACCTCTGAATCCATTTAAAGTGACCAGTTGCTTTCTAATTTGTTCTGTC